ATATAGATACATGTACACCCGTGCGAAGCCGGGGTAGATAGCTAGATATTATTATAAACGCGAAAGTTTGGAAGTTTGTTACACTTTCACGCAAAAACTACTGAACGGATTTTGATGCAACTTTACAGTAGCATAGCTTATACAACAGAATAACATATAGGCTATAAATTTCACACAAGCGAAACCACAAGCATAGTATATAGTAGTATAGAGCGAGAGAAGTATACAATATATCTTGCCCGGCCAGCTACGCAGCTACGGCGTAACTCGTCGCTACGAGAGTCGTAGCTCGCGCTACGTTATTTAAACAATAACTTAAAAGCAAGGAATAAATACATGTTTTGGCTACATCCTTATTGCAGGGTAGGAATTATAGTGCCATATGGTAATAAATAGCGGGACCCTATTGCTTTTATAGTTATGGGATGTGGGTTCGATTCTGAATGAACTTTTATGCATTGTATGTTACATGCCCAACATAATTATAATACTAATAAAAATAACCCAAAACAATCTATATTTATAATCATTTACAATCATCTCTATTAAAAAGAGCAACACACAAGTTTCTTGCTCATTCTTCTTGTGATGAATCTGCATTCCGAATGAGTGATAGAATCAAAATATGACTATTCAAAAGTGCTTGTAATGAGTTTATTTGAATAATGATTATTTCTATTTCTATTGTTTTTTATGCTTAAAAAATAAAAGATTAATATTACAAACGCGAAAGTTTGTGAGTACGGATGGTTGTTTATTGGGACACAGTTACCTAGATACATCAAAATAATCATTGCATTTAATAATGTCTAGTAAGACAAATCCAATATTGTGTACTAAGCACTGCTGTCTAAACTGTGTCACCCCACCTTATATTTTCCTATTGTTATTTAGTATATAAGATCATTATTTCTATGTACATATTGTCAGTTTATTATCATCTGTAATATATATCGTCTCGACCAACAACATCGTATCATTTACCCGCAACAATAGTAATAATGTAATGTAATGTTGGACTCCATTTTCCGCAATTGGCCTCTCACCTGGGCCGTTGTGCGTGTAGAGCCAGGCTACTAACGTAGCCAGCCAGGCTTCTCCCAGAAGCGCAGAAGTTTCCTGGTGTCTTCACAGGCTTAACGGAGCGACCTCTCTGTTCCGAGGATTTGATTACATTGTGTGGACACTTCAAGCACTCCAGGATTACGTGAGCAGCCGTTTCCTCGGCTACAAAGCAGCCCCGGCACAGGGGACTGTCTGTAGCAAGTATTGTGTACAGATGTATGTTTAATACATTAAACGTTGTACCCAATTGAGTATAGGCAAAATATTTTTTTTTCTGCTCACATACTCGGTATTTTAATTGTAGTAATCATTTAATAATTCAAAAAAGTAAGCGGAGGGTACTTTCGAAAAAGTTAACATTACGAGTTGTCAAAGTTTTGAATTTTAAAAGTCACTACAGGTTCTCATTGTTATTTTTTTTTACATTTAGATCTATTTTTCTGTTTCTCGGTTATAATTCTAAGTAAATAAATATGATTTATATCTTTGAATATAAGAAATGACGTCGAAATATATTTTGACAAGCCTCATTTGAGTACACCCCTGTAAAGTGCTGAAAATTAGAACAACTTTTTTTCTCTTATTTTAAGTCCTTATATACTTTATAGTTTTTTTTTTTAAAGTAGATTTATTTTGAGGTTTTTGTTTTTAGATATGTCAACCCCATTATTGCAAACTAATCGGAACAATTCTTAAAAATAACAAACAATCAAACAATTGCCAACTGCGAGGGATCCATTTATTAAATACTTTATAGTTATGATTGTAATAAAGCGAAACCTGAAAAAAAGCTTGTAGTTTTTGTTTGGTCATTAATGGGTAAAGGAATTTGTCCGACATGTTTAGCCATCTAGGCTAAACATGTCGGACAAATTCCTTGTATGTATATCATCTACTTATGTGACCACGCATGGTTTACAAATAAAAAAAAAACTAAAAAAAAAGGGACAGTCACATCATTATTTTTAGGTTGTGCCTGTCCAGATTTAGTATTAGAATTTTTTTAGAATTAGAATTAGAATTTTTTTATTAACTCGTTTTTACAGTAATAACATAAGAAATACAAGAATAATTTACACATTAAAAAAACGGAGTCAATGTGGGCCACAACTCAGCATAATGCTGGAAACAGTTTCCAGCGCTGATTTTCAGTTGGGCCCCCAGTACGGACGCGCAAATATTACAATTAAAAAATACGTATACATTAACTTAATAAATCAGATACTATGCAATTAAAATAAAAATAATAATATCAAGAGAAAAGTATATAAATAATAAAAAGTAAAATTATATATTAATAATCTTAAATAATAATCCTAAAACATTATATACGTAATGGATAAAAGAAAAAATGAACAATTACAAAGAAATAAAATTTAAAAAAATATATATATACCCACAGTGATGCTTACGGTGCATTTTACGTATTCTAATAACGGTATCGCAGTATTAAAATAAAAATATCCATAACACTCGCTCTCTGGTACCAGCAAATAGTTTCAGCATACAGTATTCGTTTCGTTGTTCGCTGGTTTGTTTTACGAATTGTCACTTTTGATTGTTTGCAATCGGTGGTTTGTTTCCATCTTTGGTTTCGTATCTCAGTGGATCTTTGGCGAATCCAGGATCGAAATTGCGGGAATAGTAATGGCAAAAGCGGGTGGGGAAAAATTATAATAGTAAAACTCTATATTGTGCATAAAAAAAAATGCGATCAAAAGGCTGCCTTATCGCTCGAAGCGATCTCTTACATAATTAAACATTATAGAATAGAATAAGTTTTTCGTCATACTTGTGAACGGCTTATTTTATTACGTAACATACGTAATGTATGTTTGTCTGTCCTGTGTTCAACATTGAGACGATATACGTATGTTTGATATAAATAAGCAATGAATGAATTACCCTCGATGTCACACTGGGCTATCTAGTCCCAAAACTAAGCTTATACGGCGGGTTTACGTAACTGGAAATTTAACCTTGTTTTAAACATATAGGTACATATACAGTACATTTATTTCTTTATTGATTTATTTATGACGGTCTCGGTGGTCTAGTGGTTTAGCACACCGTCTTACTTCCAACGGTCGCGGGTTTGATTCCTCACACGGCACAAACTTTATATTCATGAGTATAATTGTTTGTATCGGTCTGGGTGTTTTAAGTATATAATATGTTTGTATTTACGAAAAAAAACGTATTTGTATCAGTTGTCTAGTATCCATAACACAAGCTTTAGCTAGCTTAACTTGGGTCTAGATGGCGATGAATTGTCCTGAGATTCGGATATCCATCCATATTATATTAGAAAACAACATATATACTATGTTAGTAAATTACATTCGTAACTCATAACAAAATAGCCGGAATCGAACCCATGACCATCGGTAGTTGAGGCAAGTTACTTTAACTACTACACCACTGAGGTAGTAGTTATGGAGATATATAATTTGATCTTAAAGTGCTTGCACCAAGTGAGTAAAAATGGCTAACATAGATAATATTTTGTTATGTATATTTATCATCATAAGAGAGTTATTCAGAAATATAAATTGACTGATATAAAATATGGCAATAGCAAAATCGAACCCGCAATAACTTTCGTTAAGTGTCAAATACATAACTTACTATAATCGTGAAATATAATTCTTATTTTTTTTTAAAAATCATATATAAATATGATTTTTAAAAAAAATTAAGAAAAATTAATACTTTCATTTCTTCTGTTTTTCTTTTAATTAATTTTTAAAAAATAAAAATTATGTCCATTTTCTATGGTATATCTTATATTTAAAATTCTCGTGTCACAATGTCACTTACCATACTCCTCCGAAACGGCTTGACAGATTTCAATGAAATTTTATATGCATATTCAGTAGGTCTGAGAATCGGCTACTATCTATTTTTCATATCCCTAAGTGATAAGGGATGGCCACAACCCAAATTTTTTGATACAACCCCTAAATTTTACCCCTTCTACCATCAACCCCTATTTTTTAATAGCGATATAAATTTATATGGCAAAACAACTTTTACGGGATCAGCTAGTAATATATAATATATCGATTAGGATCCATTCCTTAATTGTGAAAATCTAATATAATAATAATAATAATAATCTCAGGACAATTCACACAGCGCCATCTAGACCCAAGTTAAGCTAGCTAAAGCTTGTGTTATGGGTACTAGATAACTTATACAAATACATAGATATTTTTTTTTTGTAAATACATACATATTACATATATATAGAAAACACCCAGACCGATACAAACAATCATACTCATGAATACAAATGTTTGTGCCGTGCGAGGAATCGAACCCGCGACCATCGGTTGTAAAGCGGTGTACTAGACCGCTGGACCACCGAGGTCGTCAATATACAGACTATATACAGACAGTCAGACAGATGCTCTCATTTATAGTACTAGTATGGACTTATAAAACAGAACTCCACGCCAAAAAAACGTCCCGCCATATTATTTAAAATATTACTGTACTGTGACATTCGATGCAATCTCTTCACTGTAAATCGACATCGTAGGACGTATGCGATATTTTTTCGTCTCGTCTCAATCGACGATAATTTAACATGAAAACGTGCCAGCCATGCAAATAAGACATTTATATTCATGGTACTTACTTCTCTAAAATACGAGCAACCTATCTGACTTTCACACGAAACCAAAAAAAAACCGAACCGAAATTTACTTAGAAGACAACGTGCCTTCGCATAGCAATACCACTGGGAGTTCAAAGATCTTTCAATAACTGCAATTACGCTTGAGTCACGCTGAAAAAAGGGCATGCGGCACCCATTGCAACTGTATGTAGCATTTTCTCCCGATTATCGGGGAGTATTTGAAGGATGCAGCGGGCGGCGGCGAGACGCCCGCGGGGGGAGGACGCCGGCGCCTCCAGTCGAGTCGTGGCAACCGCGCGTGACGGACGTGTGATGGCCGAGTAGAACTAACCAAATGAGGACTCCGCGGAACCTGAATTCGCGAGCGTACACCAAAAAGATTTTACCAGCTAGTTATTGTTGACTGTGTTTGAATACCTCCAACTTCTAGGTATAAGATTCTCTTGGACTGTATCCTGTTTGTGCCTAATGTGAGTTGAGATCTTGCGGTCGCGTGTGGCTGCAGATCACGTGCCCTAGATTTTGGGGTGTCGTCACTGGATCGCTCGAATGCTACATTTTTCGTTTATTTACGAGCAGGCAACGCTTCTGTAGACCTAGTATTAGCAATTGTAGAGCTTATTTGTAGATAACGAACAAGTTTAGTGCTGACATTAAATTTTGTGTTGTCTCGTAAAATTTTATGTCATCTGTATTGACCGCGAGCGATCTCGTGGAGCATTTGCGATTTGCCACTTAAATTTGGTTATTTTGATTGATATAACGCTGGGCTCACATTTTTAAACATCATACGCACTTTACTGTTATATTACAATTAATAACATTGTAAACACTAAAGTCACTGTAATGTCACGTACGTATTTATTTGGGTAGTACTGTGTGACGTTGTAGACAGTGCAATTTGGACTTTATGATCTAGGTGTAGAGTTTTATTTGGATTGTAAATTGTAAACTAGAAGCATTAAATCTGAATGTCTGTAAATTCATTTTATTTCTTCATTTTTAGTTAGCTCCTTTACAACGTTTCGCCAATAGTTTTATGCGGCATTCTGCTATATGTGTAATGCAGTAGTGTACTTGTATTAACCAGTCAAATTTCCTGGTTCACGACAATATAGAGGGGTGTTCGCGTTAAGGGTAAACGCACGTGGTTCACCTGAAGGTAAATAATTGGTGCCACGTGGCTGTAGCTCAATTAACCTCCCCCATGAGGGGTAGCGTACGCTTTTACTAATGAAGGACCTTTGCTGTCGTTAATAAGAGTTGCATGCAATTCTTTTCAATTTTCAAGCTTTTTAGATTTTTGCGTTTTATTTTCGCTTTAATTGGATGCCGACGATGCGTTTCATCGAATGTAAGTAGCATAGTTATATATTAATTGTAGAATATTTCTTGTAGAAATAGACTAGTATATCTATTACATATTTCTCTATTTGGAATATACATTTTTATATATAAGTCTAATTAAGTCTGTGAGTTAATAAGTTAATTGTATAAGCACTTGATTTTAGATCATCCAGATAAATTTTCGTGTGCCTCGTATTAAATATAAGTGTGATTGAGTTATATAAATCAATCAATCGCTCCGTTGCCGATACTTAATGAGTATTCCGTACCCAATAATTTCTCGTTTCAATGACTATTGGTTTTCTCAACATAGAAGACTTAATATTCGGATCGGATCATTTGGCAGAACACATTATATATCGGTGTGCGTCTTCGGCTCTATGCGTACGGCTGTTTGTGTCTGGGCAAGGGGGTTGCGCCGGGTGGTGGGGGGTCGGTCGGGGAGCAGGGGGGGCTGCGGGCCAGTGCCGGGCACATGGCGGATCGATGCGAAGCGCGTCGCCCGCGTATCATTTGCGTGCGACTGGCGGTCCGCCCCCCGCCCCGGATGCCGCTAGATGACCCCCTGCTCGCAGACGGTTATAAAGTCCGCGGATACGCAGTCTGCATTCCGTGATGAAATCGTCTATGATTTTGCAATCGTCTCATACTTATATAATTGAAATTGAGTACCAATTCGGAACGTTTCTACCGAATTAAGGTTCAATCTTGCTTACATTTTTAATATACATATTTTTTATTTACGAGTGCAATAAATTTCTTCATTCTATATATTATAATATACATACATGCATAGAAGGGGGATTAGTAATGGGGCCTACTATTGCTCTGTTAGCGTATATCATTAGCGCAGGCAGTTGCATCATTCTTTATTCGTAAATTAAAAAAGTTGACATATTTTCTTTTTAATTACACAAATACATTTAATTTAAATATTAAAAAAATATTTATTAATATAGAAAATTCGTCAAATTTTTTATATGTTAAATTTTCCTTACCATCCAGTTCAGTATATAGATCTAATTGAGAAGAACTGGCAAGAAATTCAATTTGAATCACTTTTTTTTAAGCCATTTCATTTACAATATATATTTATATAGGTATCTATGTCTAACACTAAATGAAAATCTCGTGCATGAACGTTCGTCATTCAAGTAATTCTTTAGAGATTAATAAGCTTTGCTCAAAAAAAAAAAATTGTTTTATCGTATCTATATTCTAACCAAAATAAATTATTTCCTACTTAATAGACGAGAGACCTATATTTAAATAATTAACTACACAAGGTTACTTCTAAAATAGCGGTTAACCGTTATTTTTAGGCTACAATAACTACTACAGTTTGTGGTTATAGTTCTACAAACTATTTTGTGTGTACGTTTAATGGAAACATTGCGGCATGGTTCGTTTTTCTGACATCTATTAAAGCATCTCAAGGATGATATAATCAGAAATCTTTTAGTACAGAAACTTTAACTTATTTAATACAGACTCCAATTCAATTAGGTACAACATTAACAAATTTATCATCAGAAAATAATTTAGAAATATACTCGTATATACATATTTTACAGAGTTATGAAAAACATGTCCCACGTTGGGCGCCCATTTTAAACATCTACAAAAATCATTTCAGTTAACAATCATTACATAGTATAAAACAAAGTCGCTGTCGCTGTCTGTCCGTCCCTTTGTATGTTGAAATCTTTAAAACTACGCAACGGATTTTGAAGCGGTTTTTTTTTAATTGATAGAGAGATTATAGAGGAAGGTTTATATATATATATTAATATACTAGCTGATCCTGCAAACGTTGTTTTACCATATAAATTAAAATCGCTATTAAAAAATAAGGGTTGGCAATAGAAGGTTGTAAATTTAGGGTTGCATGGGTTTTTTAATTAAATCAATAATTTAAAATTGTCCAAGAAATTAAAAAATAAAAGTCAGGAGTGAACAACATTTATCACTTAGGAGTATGAAAAATAGATGCTAGCTAATTCTCAGACCTACTGAATAAGCATATAAAATTATATAAAAATCGATCAAGCCGTTTCGGAGGAATACGGTGACTAACATTGTGACACGAGAACTATATATATGAGACTAGCTGTCCCGGCTAACGTTGTTTTGCCTTAAAATAAAATAAAAAATTTAGGGGTGGACTACCCCTAACATTTAGAGGGATGAAAAATAGATGTTGGCCGATTCTCAGACCTACTCAATACGCTCACAAAATTTCACGAGAATCGGTCAAGCCGTTTCGGAGGAGTATGGGAACGAAAACTGTGACACGAGAATTTTATATATAAGAAAACCAACAAAACAATAAAAGAAATATAATTTTATATTTAGAAAAATAATATCAACTATAAATTATTTTTCTAAATATAAAATTATAATTACAATGTCTTTTGTCACATGATAGAGTAATGTTTTATTTCAATTATGGTTTAAAAATCCTTCATCTTAAGTTTTGTATTGGTGATTAAATTTTTCTTTTCAAGTTTTAATTTAATTATTTATTTAATTCCTGCTGGGATTAGACGAAACTAAGTACGTTTTTTCATTCTGTATAATTGAATTGGCAAATAATTACATAACCGTTACTTACCACATACCACTATGTACCGTCAGATTTCAGTTTCACATAACAAACTAAAATCGTCACTGTAAGGTAAAAATCTTTAAGCGTTGAAGCCATTTAAAACTTGGTTATTGATTTGATAAACATTGTAAGAGTCTGTAAAAATAAATAATACTAAAAAAACGATCGTCGAATTGATTATGTCCATTATATAGGTCCAACCAAATTGATTTCGTTAGGTTTCTAAACATATGCATTATTGTAAAATGTGAACTTACAAGGATTATTTAAAAGAGCAACACACAAGTTTCTTGATTATTCTTCTTGTGATGAGACAGCTTTCCGAATAAGCGGTAGATTTAAAAAAATGTTGACTATTCAAAAGTGCTTAAATTAAGTTTATTTGAATAAAATTAAATGATTTTCTATTCTATTCTATATGCAAGTTAATTCGACCTAATCTTATGGTTAAGTTGAAGTTGACGACCTCGGTGGTCTAGCGGTCTAGCATACCAAAAAAAAAAAACTATGTATTTGTATCAGTTGTCTAGGACCCATAACACAAGCTTTAGCTAGCTTAACTTGGGTCTAGATGGCGCTGTGTGAATTGTCCTGACATTATTATTGTCCTGAGATTATTAAGTTCCATGATGGAAATTTAATTAATTAAATACAAGTATTTTTATTGATATTACAGAATAACAGATTTATCACCAGATATAATTTAGTAATAAGATTCCTATATTTAGTTCAACTGTAGATCTTGTCACTTTCAGTGATATTTTCAGTAAGTAATATATTTAACGTATCTTTCTCGATATTTAACTGTTTTATATGGGAGTGATGAAACCGAACTTTTTATAAGAAATAGAGTATATAATTGTAGATCATTACATAGTATAAAATAAAGTCGCTGTCGCTGTCTGTCTCTTTAGATCTTTAAAACTACGCAACGGATTATGAAGCGATTTTTTTAAATAGATAGTGATTCTAGGGGAATTGATCTAGGAGAAAAGTGATTTTTGGGGTATTTTAGAAAACTTTATAGTGATACTAGCTGATCCCGCGAACGTTGTTTTGCCGTATAAATTAAAATCGCTATTAAAAAATAGGGGATGGCGATAGATGGGTAAAAATACATATAATAATGTATTTTTTAATGCTACATTATGAAATTCAAAAAAATATTAGGGGTGGACAGCCCTTATCACTTAGGGGTATAAAAAATAGATAGTAGTCGTTTCTCAGACCTACTGAATATGCATATAAAATTTCATAAAAATCGGTCAAGTCGTTTCAGAGGAGTATGGTAACTAACATTGTGATACGAGAATTTTATATACAAGTTTAATAGTTAAGTAATTTGTATTATATATATATAACACAGATTACTTGACTACTAAGCAATCGGTTTAATTTCGAGGTGTTTATTTATTTACCTACGTTACGAGTCATGTCAGTCACACTGACTACTGCAGTGTTTGTCAACCTTTAAACTCTACTCAACCTTTTTAGTTTGTCCCCATGGGACCGGAA